AAAAAAAAAAAAAAAAAAAAAAAAGAACCTTAAGAGAATCTAGGTGATAGTACACTTTCCATTATAACCATTCTCTTAAAGGCTAATTCACTGGTAGACACCAACCAGTACATTCTCAGACATTCCAGACATGACAAATGCCAAGATGCTCATTCACCGAAAACAAGTGCAACCAATGCCAACAGAGGCAGATGGGGTAATACACCGATCTGCCAAAACCTGACGGATGTGTCTGTTGCCATTGGTCGGTGTCCATCGGGGCAGTATAAACTGACCTTAAGAAGTTTCTTGCAATTGAGCACACAATCTATTATTTAACATTTCAAATTTATTTAAACAATTTAATGAATATATTTCATGATATGCCAGTTTATTAAATTAACTGCCATAAATTGCACATATCAATATTAGATAAAACCCCACAAATGAAGAGAATTATAGTGTCATGAATAGACAAAATTCAGAATCAAAGGCAAACTTTAGAATCAAAGAACTGGCTCCTTTTCAATCCATGAGTGTAAATTTGAATTAAAATGGCCACAACCAACAAGAAATTTAAATAAAATTTGAATGAAAGGAAGAGGAAATGAATTGTAATTCAAAGAAATTCAACAAAGGTAACACATTCTGAGAAATTAAGAGTTCTGTCCTGGTCCACAAAAATTAATTTATTAAATATGATGAAATGTAGAAATTAAATTTTTACAGGTGGAATTTTATGCCAAAACATCTCACGTCAAAGACATTTCAATTCTATCTACAGTATATATTGTTTTATGGACCTGTTTTAAGGCATGTAAAAATCCAAACTTGAAGGCTTTTAAAACTTAAAAAAAAACATAAAAAAAAAAACTTTGTCAAGCAAATATCCAAATTAATTAAAATATTTTTTTATACTTTATGAATTTATTTCATTCAGGATTATGTTTCCTTACATTTAAACTGCAATTCTACATTTTTATAGAGTTTTTGTTAGTTATGCATTTTTGAAGATACTATAGACCTCCCACTCATTCAATTTTGCCAAGTTACTGTACTCCGACACATTATTTCAAATATAATTATTTCATCAGTTCAGCTCCTGGTGCCATATTGAGAATTTGATTACATTTTATGAATGAAAGACCTTTACTAGCCAGCTTTACTAGCAGGCCTTCCAGCTAGCACCACCAAGCCTTTACGGGTGATCCAGAAAACAGCAGCATGTCTGGACTTCAATCAGCCGAAGAAGAGCTATGTCATACACTTTCCACTCGCTTTCAAATTCTCAAGACACTGATTTCAGCATAAAGAATTTACATTCCCTCTCGTTCCCTGCGGTCAGTGAATCAACAATTCCTGGCGGAACCATCACAATGCGGCACAAGGCCACTTTCAAAAACTTCACACTCACTGTCACTGCCAACCCTTATTAGAGGAATCCATTCCAATCTTCAGAAATCGTCTGAAGACACCTTTCCTGGGAGCATGTGACTAATAAAATAAATAAAAAAAACCAAAATAAAATAAAATAAAATAGGAGAACCTAAATATAAAAGATAAAAAAAAAATATATATATATAATAAATAAAATTATTCCTCATTTACACTTTTACTTTATCATGTACTTTTCTCTCAAAGGAGTAGTTCACTTCCAGAATAAACATTTCCTGATAATTTACTCACCCACACGTCATACAAGATGTTCATGTCAAATTAAGGTTTTTGAGGAAAACATTCCAGGATTTTTCTCCATATAATGGGCTTCTATGGTGCTCAAAAGTTTGAACTTCCAAATTGCAGTTTCAATTCCGAATTCCAGAATTCCTACATTAATTTTTGTGGTATAGTTTTATGATGTCAGATTAAATATATAATAAAACCCACATCATCCAACTTTATTTTAATTTTTTTTATTTATATACATATATTTTGTCTTATTACTGGTTCAGAATCAATAATCAGGAGAAGAAGATGTCTACATCATACTCTTGCTCCTGGACTCTCAGATGGAAACCCGGGTAGTCTGTGTATATTGAAGCCAAACAGCCCCTGCCAATAACAGCTTTATTTTCTGCAGATGAGCATTTCCATCAACTGGCATCTTGAACCAGCAACAGCTGGTTAATGTGTATAAGAGTGGAGCGGGCCGAAATGGAATGGCCTTCCATTCTGATGGCATCTCTTTCAGATGAATCAGTGGGCTAAATTGGATTTTGCTAGGCTGTGTCCTGAAGCGCACTGTAGATGTTGCTTTTTGAACCCGATCACTTGTGCTGGTGATGCAGTGAGTACCTGCTATTTCACAGTCAAAACTCATGCCAGCTCAATTCAATGCAGCAAGCTTCCAATTAGCACTCTTGGATCTTACACAAATCAAACAAGTCCAATCCTATAGCCCAACTTCTGCTCACATTTTCAATTATCCAAGATGATTGCATGTCTGTTTAGAGGAAAGGACATAGAGACATACTAACCTAACAAAAGTCTCTAAAGTTACACAAAGCCTTTCTATGGAAGTACATTTTCAGCAAGGGATAAAAAAGGTAAATGTGGTAATTGCCAAAGTCAGAGAAGATGTAAATATTCATAATTGCAAGATAGAAATCCAGAATTCTGACTTTTCCTAGCTATTCCGAGTTTACATCTCACAATTATGACATTTTCCCTCAGAACTCTGAGTTTACATCTCGCAATTCTTTTTTTTCTGCCACAGAATTAAAAAATATCAACAGTAATTGCAACTTCATATCTCACAATTCTGACCTGTCTTCTCAGAATGATGAGTTTATATATTGCAATTGCAAGTTAAAATATTGCAATTCTGACTTATTTTTCTCAGAATTGCTAGAAAAAAGGTCAGAATTGTGAAATAATAATTTGCAATTACCTTTTTTATTCCTATGGCAGAAACTAGCTTTCATACAAAAATCACATGCAAATGAGGTTTGTTTTACTTGAGGCTCAGAAAAGAATCCAAAAGACCCAGTAAAGACATATATGAATTTCCATATAAAACAACATTATATAACACTTCACTAAGATAATAGCACAGATATGTAAGGGTTGGCAAACAATTTCATATTTCACTCCAGACCTCTACAGAACAGCTTCCAGTGAACGGCTGTATAGATACTGGAATTGGGTTTATGGTAAATGTGTGTAAGTAGTTCACAAACACAGTATGCAGTCAAGCACATGAGAAAATGATGGCTTTGGATGACCTGTCAAAGCATAAAACTTAAAAGCGGCTTGCTTTTCGCTGTTCTTTCTTTCAACCCCCACTATTTTATTACATTTGAGCGTCCTTTTTTATGAGAGAATCAAAAAGATAGCTGCTTCCAAAAAAGACAAAACATGATTTTTTGTTGAAATATGAGTTAGTTTGGAGAAACGGCACAAAACAAATCATCCGAAAAAGGAAAGAGGCATTCAAGCATTGGCAACAAAAACAACACTTTTCTGACGCTGAATGTTGAAAGTTATTGCAAAAAGAGCCATGTGAGCTGAAGTCAATGACAATCAACAGTTTTGAATTATCTTTCTCATGCTTGCATTAATTAGACGTCTGGAAGAAAATGATAATTGATATCAAAATGTGTTTAACTTACAAAAAAATGTTGCACCTTTTATGCAACAGAAATACTTAAATCAAAGATAATTAATCATGTAATTAATTATCCATAGAGGACAATTGAATAGACTTTCACTACAGTGTTCACAAGAGCAATACTAGCCATGGAAACCATGCATTTGCAAAGACAAAGCGAGCAGTTTACCTTGATAATGGGCGCTGAAGCCTTTGTATCGATGGTTGCTGTCAGTAACAAAGTGTAACCTCAGCCAGTTCTTGTTGCTAACAATAGGAGATGGGACATTCATTCCGGATAGCCTGTAAAACATGAAGGAAAGCTCTTTACATTTGTTACGGAACGTCACCCATTAACAGCGACAAGAACAAAACATTTATAATAACATGGCATCTTTCTAGAGCGGCTGTAAAACTCACGTTTTGTAGATGAACAATGATAGATAGCACTGTCAAAACAAGTTTAAATGATCTGTCTGTTTAGGCCGTGAAAGTAGATGTTTGGATAGTCAATATTTTATCTTCTGAAGTATAAAACTTTCTGAGAGCTCATAATATACTACCAAGGGCACTGATCTAATACGCTGACATTTAACGGAGTTGCAAGCACCTTAACACTTAGTCCACCGTTTACTCATGAAGTGCAAGCCGGGCCAGATGCGGTCAGCACACTCCCTGGACACGTTTGAGGGGCGGTGCACACAAACTGAACATTTTGACAAGTAAAAAACATCATTGTGTGTGTGTGTGTGTGTGTGTGTGCGCTGTGTGTCGTGAATCAGCGTGGTGCTGCAACAGAGGACAGAGGTCATTGTAACCCCAACCCTCCACCCATCAAAATGCTCCATCTTCATCCTACATCTGTCTCACTTTATTGATGACTAACTGGAGATGTCATTAAAGGACATGGCCACATGAATCACACTTTAATGGCCTTCACAGGCTGGAGCGGAGCCATATCATTACTGTTATCTTTCTGTCTCTCTCTCTTTCGCTCCCACACACACACACACACACACACACACACACACACACACAGGCAGTATAGGTTCTTTTGCTTAAACTTAAAGGCAAAGTCTGTCATTTCTGCGCCACTAGTGTCACCACACAGAATTATAAACATAATGATTCTTAATAAAAATGAAAAAGTATTTCCAAACTATGTCAAACAACTGTGGCGTGTTCGAGTCTGAATGAATCCGTGTTTTGAACAAATCAGCTGAAAGAATGATTCAATAACAAATTCAGTTGTTGATTCAGGAATAAGTTGATTCAGATAATTCACTCATTTGTCACCACCTACTGGTGCACCGATGTTACTTGCAAAAAGGATGCTTTTTATTAAGTAGTTTATTCCATATTTGAATTTGTCAGCATGTATGTTGATGAATAAAGATATAAAAGCATAAAAATAATGTAAAGATAATGAGATGATCAGCAGTAAGCATCTTGCTTAATACACATTTCACCACATACTAATATCTGAAAAGGAAATCATATATTTCTAATTAAATCATATATTTGGAATAATATCTCTTCATTACAACAGTTCGTCACAGCATTTAATTTTTTTTTTTTTAAAGTTACTATACATGCAAGAATTTTTTTTTTAATCATCGCATCCTTTTTCTTACGGCAATTTCCAAATTACTACATGTCCCAGAAGAGTCCTACGAGATAGCAGAGGAAATTAAATTCATCCTGTTGACTTAAATATTTAGATTCAGTACACCAAAAACACAGATTCATTTTGTGCCTCTTTCAGCAAGTTACTCCATTGCACCAGCAGGTGGTGTAAAGTATACTATCAAACATTATGAATGATTCTTTCAAATGTTCACTCAACAGATTCATTGAGAAAAAAAGTTAATGACCAAAAAACAGCACCATTTAAAAATACAGAAAACTGAGACAGCAGAACGATATCCTGACATGTGTACTGTATTATAAATCATAATAGTGTAAAATATGCTTCATATTGCACTTTATTATACATTTTTGTTTTGTATGTTAAGTATTTGTTTCTTTCTGACAGGTGGTTTTATGGCCTACAATATTTGAAAATCCTATTCAAATTCTTACAATTTGTATTATAGTCACACACATCTTTTGCTTGGTATGATATGGTATTTCACACAGCTCTATAGACTCCCAAAGGGACAACTGATTTCCTGACTTTTGAATAATTTGTCCTTGATGTAATCAGGACTTATATGAAACTTGCATGAATAAGCTTGCCACATTCTTGTCATGCAGTGCCAGTCACAAAACAACAGTTTTTGCACATATAAACCTTTCCATGTTCATGACTTTACATGTCTCAGTGAGTTTACATTTAAAGGGGTCATGAACTGCCTTTTTTATTATTTTGTACTGTTCTCTGAGGTCCACTTATAATGCTATCTAGATTTTTACGAAGGAAAAAATCATAATTTAGAAGTAATAGGGTATTTTCTGTCCTGGTTTGACCACCTCTCATTGGAACGCTCTGTTTGAATAGGCGTGGTGGATTGTAGACTCGGAAGTAAACACCCACTGATTGGCTAACAGTTGTATATGTTTGACAGCCAACATCAGATGAACAGATGAACGCTGCTGTGATTTAGGTTAAAAACGTATAAATACTCAGTACATATAAAATGATCTGTAATAACAGACAAAGCAATAGTGACCAATATAGTCGCACAGCATTGTCTTTCAGTTTCAATCTTTTTTTTTTTGGCAGATTGGCTTCAATATAAGCTGTTTAATGAGAAAGTTTTGAGTTCTGAAACTTACAGGATGTTTTTATAGTACGATGACATCTTATATGTCAAAAAATCAAGGGAATTTCGATTTCTCAGTTCAAAACCCCTTTAAATCAGAAATGGAGTCCCGTAAAAAAAATCTGCTCCCATAAAGATCATACATTAATTATGAGTCAAAGCAAAATGTTTTCTTCAGTTTTATGGGCATAATCTACTTTAGGAAATGAAGTATGGCAAATGCCCCTTAAATTTAAAGGCATAGCATTAAAAAGCTTTAGTTTTATCCCTTTTGCTGCCAATAACCTATATACTCACAAAGAAGTCCATGCCAAAATAGGCTTCATACTCATCTTGATGGTTAAAATACAGCATGTGTACTAAGGCTTTAAGGACAGACACATGTTGTACTTCTTTTATTCCATCTAGGCATGACAAATACTACAGAACAGACTCTACAGGCCAACACAATCATGAACTCTGCTCCATCAAAATGAGTCTTAATGTGGCCACTTTAATTTAGATTTTTTGTTGTTGTTGCTCAAAGTCTCTGATTTAAAAAAAATTCATACCTTAAATGTCTTTGTTATGCTCTTTAATGTTGAGTGGTGGGGTGGGGGGTCTGCCCCTGTTCCCCTTGACGCCCAAAGTGCCCTTTTGTCAAGGCAATTTATTTTTTATTTTTATTTTATTAATTTTTTATTTTATTTATATTTTATTTTTGACAGCTTTAGTAATTTAGCGCACTACCAGATGCCTTGAATAACGTCCGCGGCTGCCGGTAAGTGGAGTTCTCAGCATAGCGGTGTGCTTGTGTACTTATATTATTAAATTATTATTATTTTACAAGAATGACGTGAAGAGAGCATGCACATCTGTTGTTTATATTGCTGTGTGTAGCCTGTGGAAGTAACGTTAGCTGCAGCAAGGGGCTATAATATTTTTGTTCAATATTTTCCTAATGACAATTTTATGATTAGTTTATAAAGGCTACTACGAACACCTTTTTCCAATTTTTATCACAAAAGGCAGGAAATATATTTTATAGTTTCAATACTAAATGATATGTCAATAATTATACTGCATTATTCATATAGTTTATTTATTTATTATCTGGAAATACCTTGAAAAACACACATAAACCATATATTTTCGCAATCGTGAGTTTATTGTCTTCATGTTTCATTAGTAAAAATGTTTCTGCTTTTTATTCAGCTCAGCTAAAGTGATAACCGGATGATTTTGTACATATAATTTCCTGCACGTCATAATTTGTAAGTTTTTTTTATGTTATCTGACTAAAAACTATTCATACTTTGAACTATTATTACAGTATTTATTTAAAAAAACGTAGAGTGCCTTAAAAATGATCACCACACTGGTAAAACAGGCTCATACTGATTTTCTCATCCTCCAAATTATACTTATCAATCCTGTTTTTATTATCATTATTATTCAAAAATGAATAAATTCATAACACGATTAGAATATAATTCTATTTTAAATAAGACAGAAATATTTTTTTCTACAACAGCAACAGTAGTGTTTACAACAGCAAAACCACCATGCCCTGTAAACTCAACAATAATAATAATAATAATAATAATAATAATATAATTCAGTTTCTAATTCCAGAGTAAATAAGAGGTGCAAACTTTTCAACTTAAAATTGTCTTTTCTGTACTGTTTCTTTTTCAAAACTGCGTCACAGCATTTGCTGCTGTATCAATACAGAAGCATCCGTTTTGATACACGTATCAGCAAGGAGCACAGCCCTATTTAAAGCCGTGTTCCATGTGCCCCTTTTATACTTTGAGCACCTGTCCCTCCAAAGGTCTCTGCATGGCCCTGAATCATCTTGTCTGCTTTAATACTGGATGCAGCATGAAAAAACATTAAACACCAGGGAGTATGGTTAGAAAAACTGAACTTACTGAAATGCATCAGTGTGCATTAAATATATAAACCTGACATTACATTTGTATAATATAATATATATACTATATATATTTGTAATAATATTATACTATATATATTTGATTGTGATACTTAATACTTAGACAGTGAAAACAACTACAGTTAATAATTGGTTTAGTTGAGTGATGCAGAAATTGCTTTCAGTTTGTTGACAGAAATATTGCTTGTCCTGTTAGGAAATGTTACAAACACTAACAGAAATCATTTCAAACATGCCTCAGACATCCAGCAAGGAAAGGTCCCTCAGACAAACACTAAATCATACAAAATTACACCCCAACTTGTACCACAAATAGGACAAGATTATATAGCAGCTTTAATGTAGTGTAGGTGTGTGAGATTTCAGATGCAGATGATATGAATGACCCAGTGAAATCAATAAATGCAGCAAAAGACACACTGAACTACAGAGCATGCTCAGACTCTAGACAATGAAATGTGGCTTCAAAACACATCGACTTCTCTAAAAAAAACTTCAAAAAGGGGGATTGAGACAAAAGGGAGAGAGCCTTCTCACGAGGCAAATAAGAGCACATCGTCATTGAGCATAATGGACTTGGCGAGCTTTTAAGCTTTCGCTAT